GAGTTGGTTCGAGAGTTTGGATACTCGGATGAGGCTGTACAATTGTTGCGACGTGCACCACAACTTTATCCAGGTAAAGAATTCATACTTATAATTTTTCTTAATTTTTTTTTTTTTTATATTAATAATGAAATTAGTATTCTTTTCCTCACCGTCCAGATGATCCTGAATTCCGTACAACTCAAGTATATGTTCGCAATAATATTGCTAATATTGGAAATCTTACTGAAGGAATGCCGGCACCTGATTGCCCATTGGTTCCACTAGAATCTTCTAACGATAACAATGATTCATCAACTTTAGTTTCTTTACGTTCACTTTGTAAACCAGGACGGCCTCTTGTTCTTCTTGGTGGATCATATACTTGTCCTTTATACCGATACATATCTCATGTACTCAATGATATATATATGAGATATAAAACTCATGTAGATTTTTATATGATTCAAATTCGAGAAGCACATGCCTCTGATGTTTGGCCCATTGGTAACATTGTAGACGTCAAGGAACATCGTACATTATCTGATCGTTTAACTGCTGCACATGAAATGGTTAAAAAAACTCATTTAGAAATTCCTGTTTTAGCTGATACAATGGATAATAATTTCTTGAAGTTATATTCACCATGGCCATTCCGTTTTTTTGTCGTTGTGGATGGTATTTTAAAACTTGTTGGAATGCCAAAAGAAGCGCGTTATGATACAACGGATCTAGTTGAATGTTTAAATAATCTTTTATGCAGCAAAAAGGACTAACATTGTCCTATTAATACTGTATTCTTTAAACTTCTATTTTTTTCTGTTATCTTTCTGCAATCTTAAGCAGATAATGTAGATAGACTCAAATATGCAAATGAGTTATTGCAATATACCAATTTTGTTACAGTATTTTTTTTAAAAAAAAACATTTATACAATAAAATTTTCAAAGGGGTTGGAGCACTACCAACAAAAAGCTCGGACACATAAGTGCTATGGCTTGTTCGGCCATGAATTACAAATTTATTCATTGAAAATAATATAAAAAGTACGAGCGTATATATGTATGTTTTTGGCGTAATTTTTGGTTTATTATTAACACTATACATTTCGCCCGATTCTTTTTACCAATTCTTTGTAGAAAGTTTATATTGTTAACAGCATCAGTATGTATTGAAAATGTGTCTTATGAATACTCCAAAATATATTTATTTATAATTTTTGAGTTACATTTTTATTTTTTGTTTTCGTTCATTACTGGCTTGATGAATTATAATCAGTGATCGTCAAAGAAACAGCGAGAAACTTTTAACGAAGGTTCGTTCGTTGGCCATTATTAACCCATTTTGTCACCTGATCGTTATTTTACATGATAAACCAATTCACTCATCCATTTTATGTACGTACGTATGTACGCACGCAACTCATACAAAATAAAGTCACAGCCCAGTTCATTAAGTGAAATGCCAGCTGATATAATGTAGGCCGTATTGCTTAATACCGATCCAGCTCTATGCATTCCATTTCGGAGTTTTGAGGATTGCTCTTTAAAAAATAGTTTCATGTAAATCAACTGATCAACGATCTTAGATATTAGTAGAACTTATAATATTTATCCTGGATTGTAGTTTAATTGTATCCATGTGAATGTCGATCTTGAATAAACGTCATTTCTAAAAAAAATGCAGAGTTCAAACCTGGTCGAGCAAAGCGAGGCTGAAATATAAAAAGTATGAAGCTAAACTTGAAACGAAGCGAAGTGAAGATTAGTGAAAACATACTTTGAAAAATAATATTAAAAAAATATACAATATTGAATTTAAAAGGATGCCAAGCAAAGTAAGAACAATATAAAAGACATTATTGAAAATCCAAAAGCTAACAGGTCTTTTTTTTTTAATCATTAAAATAATCATTTTTAATGTTTATTATTGGTAATCATTGCAATATCACATATAAATTATACTATAAATCTTAG